TCCTTTGCTAGTTTATTATGGATTTTCAGAGGAGAAATTAAAGGAGAATCTTAAATTTGTCTTTTCTCTAACTTATATTTTAACCATAGTGCATCCATTCTGCCTCTGGAGAACTTCAGCAGATGGTGTCAGGCTGCAGAGCCAGGGAATTGCCTGCCTGTGGTGCTGGAGGTGACAGGAGGGGTGTCCCTTTGCTGTGGGATGTGATGGGCTCCAGCTCACTGAGAGCTGTGCATCAGCACTGCTCCATGCGTGCTGATGGCATTTCTTGTTGGCACTTTTTATACAGTTGTTTGTCATTCACGTGGTGCCAACGTGTGCCACAGCAAATAGAGCCATCTCCTGATGGTGCCCTGGCTCAGAGCTGGGCTGTGGCTGCCTGCTCACCCTGGCACTGGTGAGCTGCTGGCTGTTACTGGTGCAGGGGACAGGGGCTCTATCTGTCCCTGTGCTTTCTGTAAGGTATGAAATGAAATCTGTGGGGCTGAGGAGTACTGGGATGGCCAGGTTTGCCTCATGGGCATGAGGAAGTGCCCCAGAGTGACTGTGGCTGTGCTCTGCAGGGAAGGTGGCACTGAGGGAAAGGCGTTGCCCATCTCCAGTGGAGGAGGAATACCTGTGACAATTTCACAGGTTGTGTCAGTGGAGTCTGCAGCCAGGGCAGGGCTGCAGAGCAAGTGCTTGGAGCATGAGCCTTGCAAGACCCTGGATCTGGAGGGTCTGCAGCAAAGTGAGCACTGTCCTGCTCTTCAGGACATTTGCCCTGTGCTCACACAATATGAAAATGTGTGTGGGCAACTACTCATTTATGAATTGGAAGAGCACCTTATTCTTGCTTAGATTTTTTGGTGTAGACACTGCAAGCATAGTTACAGCGTAGAACAACAGCCTTTCTAGCCAGAAAGTCACACTTTGTCCTGGCACTACAAAATCTGCCCATTGCTGATGCCACATTCCCCTCACAACTGCAATCTTTGACCCTTCTTAGGCAGCCCATCTCAACCCAAACTCATTTATAGGCTAATAATAAGTCCCTGTTGTTGCAAATGACTGCAAAGAATTTTCTTAAGGTCACCTATCAAAGAGCAGAAATGAAACCATCATTTAGGTTTTGGTCCTAGCTGCAGTCACTAGGCTGCAGTGCTTCACCTGTACACAGAACTATACAATTAATCATATTCTAAAGATATGGTGAAGACCAACAGCATAAAAATATGGAGAAGTTTCTCCATAGCTCATTAGAATAGTGGAGGTTGTAGTGTCTATAGATGGTTCACTGTAATCTAACAGCTTGCCACATGCCAAAAGAAGCCCACAGCATTTTATTTCAGTAGTGTTATCACTGGAATTATTTATTAATGTTCCAGTCTTACTCTAGTGGAAGAGTCTTTTTGTTAAATCAGATTTAAGATATTTTTATCAGTGCTATTTCCAGCTGACATGATTTTTCATGGCAATTGGATAAGCAAACATTTACACAGTATGATGTTGAAGGTCTGAAAAATTTCATGTATGCCATGTTGTCTATAATGCTCAAAATAATCCTGATCAAAAGATGGTGTGAATTGTGTGGGAATTAATATTATCACACAAATGTATTTAAGTGTTAATTCTCTTTGATGTGACCATGTAGAAAAGCCTTAGGAATCAGTGAAGATTAGGGGAAAACTGACTATTTCTGGTTACTTGTTCATAATAATACAGACAGATTGTCTGTGCTAAATTGCTAAACCATTTTACCAGGCTCTTGAATGCCTTTTTTTTTTCCTTGTCCTTTTTTTTCCAAACTTGATTTTATTCATATTTCCCTCTTAAGATGTTGGGAGAAGAGAGGAAGAAAAGTCTTCAAGGCAAATATATTTTATTATTACTGCATGTAAACAGCACCTGATGTTGCACTCAGATTTGAATTTCTTTCTTCCATAAATGTTAAAGAATTTTTGTAGTCAGTGATGAAGAGAAGGAAAGCTCTGCATTAGAGTTTATTGGTCTTTATAGCTGTACAAGTCTCAAACTCTTGACTTCTACATGCCTGACACCTGCAAGGAACCCCCTGCATGTGAGGTCTTTTACTTCTAAAAACCTTCTAGCTAAAAGAGACAATTTGCCATTTCATACCTGTTAGCAAGGCTTGGCATTGAGCCTGTTGTAAACTGACTAATATGTATTTGGGTTTATGCCATCTAGATGCTTTAGAAGAAATTAGTTGGAAGTATTTCCAGTTTGTCACTGAAAAAAACTGAAGTAATTTCAAGATAAAACTGAAATATATGATGGTAAAGTGCTGATTGTTCTAAATGCCAGTTGAACACCTGATTTACATAATAACCTGATTTTTATGGCACCTGGCCAAATGAGAATGTAAATGATGGTACAGACAGGCTTTTATCTGAATTTCATTGTTTGGCTAGTGTGGCAGAACAAAGTTGAACTACTCGTGAAAAAGAAAAGTAACTTGTTGCATACATTTGCAAATGGATTTTGATGATATATGCAAACATTTTCTGATTGACTATTTTGATTCCATGAGTTGTATCTGCATGTTTCCTTCTCTCACATGCAATAGGGGTCTGCACTTGAAAACCTGCCTACTCTTCTTAGTTGAAATGTTAGTTTTTTATACTATCAGAACACTTTCAAACCAATGCACCTGTTCTTAATGGTGCACTGTTCAATTCCTTGCAGCAGTCAGTCATTTTACTGATATTTGTTGCTATGTGTCTTCAAAATTAGTAGTGCTGCTGCTTAAATATGAATGCTACTAAAATTACATATTAACTAGCAAGCTGTTGGAATCTCTGTTACCAATAACTGCCAGGAAAAATAATTTCATACTATAAACTTAATTTGGAATTCACTATGGGCCAAGAATTACTTACATCTGTCAGGGTTTCCCAACAGAAAACTGAAATAAAAGACAAGAACAAAATAAGTATTGTTTAAACATTAAACTTTCTTTGAACAAATTTCTATACTAATATCTTGAATGTTTGCTATCTGGCAAGAAATAAAATTTTCATATATAAAACCACTGCAAACTGAAATTGCTAATGATTACTCCATGGTGCATTGGACTTGTGATGGAAGATCTGGATAGCAAGGTCCTGCTGGGTTTGGACTCTATTCATAAAATAAATTTTCTTTATTCTAGTAAGAGAAATTTCTTCTAGATAGTCCTTGTTTCTTGCAAATTAAATTCAGTGGAGTGGGTTTCCTTGCAGCAGCACTTGCTGAGGCCTGCAGGAGGAGCAGAGCAGCCCCGCTCCACACCTGAGCTGGGCTCTTGTGCATCCCCAGGGCCTGAGAGGGACCATGAGTGACACTGATGGACCTGCTGCCAACTGCTGCACACTGGTGTTTTAGAAAGCAGTGCTCAGGCCCAGAAAATTGAATTCCTATAAACTGTCTAAAATGTCATGGCTTTATTAAAATAAATCCCAGACACTGTGAAGGAAGCGCTTGAAGCTGCAAATGCATCGAGGTTTGTTGTGGCCCCTGCCGAAGGCAGGAGACTGAGTTAAATGGACTCTCAATCTGAAAAAGTGCAATATCCTCATATGTTTGTTAATTCCAGCTGTGTATCTTGCTTAAATGACTTAGTGTAATTCAATTAGTGGATCTTTTCACTTTTGCTGCATTTCTGTGAGCCTGAAAAAGGCTTCAGTCTGTGGCACACATGCAGTGGGTTTGGCTACTGATGTTGTTGCATTCTGGTTGTATGAATGATTAGAGGAGACCAGAAGAAAATGGAAAAGCTCAATGATTTTGGTTATAGTAAATATGGCACTGAATCAGAACTTGTGAGGAGACACAGCAGGTCCTGTTCCCATTTCCAGTCATTCCTACAGTGCTTTGTATGGTCACTTGTATGGTCATATTGTGGGTGGGTACTGTGTGCAGGGTCTTAGATGAATCTTTTACTGGTGGCAAATGATAAGACACTATCTTACTGGGGAAAAAGAAGTTTTACATTCTAAGCATTTTTTGTGTAGTTTCTTTTTTGTTTTTTCAAAATAAAAAGGAAAGGCAGCAAAACTCTCTGTGTTGTGCTCTTGGAAGAGGGAAAAGAAAGATTACATTAACATGCGCAGGTATTCTTTTATCAGTGTTCCCATATTATCTGAGCAACACTTAACTTAGCACCTATTTTTTTTTATTGCAAATTTTGTGTATTTTATTTTAGAAACTAAAGCTTCTAAAAAGAATCTGATAGTCCCAGGTGCAAGGCCAGTGAGATAAGGGTACATTTGAGGCCACTCAGCTATGATTGCAAGTTTAACTTGCTAAAGGAAGTGTTAGAAAATTAGAAGGATAATCTTGAGGATGCTTAGTCCCAGCTTCTGGCCCTGGTTCCCTGGTCTGCCTAAGTATTTTTGTGAATCCATCCCCTGATAATGTGTATTGTCACTATGCTTGCAGCTGTCAGCATTTCCCTGGTTTAAAACGTGAAGAAATTCCTTTAGATGACCTATTCATGTCTTCTAAGTTTCATTCCTTCAGGCCATATTTCCATGGGGTTATCAAAGATTTTTATTATCTTTTCATGAGTGCATAGCATTTGAGTCTTAAAATGTGGTCTGTAATGAAATTCTGCTGGAATTTGTCCTTTAATTCTGTTGTTGTAGCAAAGCAAAAAATACTGCAGACAGTGCCATAAAATTTAAATAATGAATGTAAAAATCTTTTCCCAGCTGTGACAGGGCAATATCAGAATGTTCTCAATTGCTTGTCTGTTTCTTAATGAGAAATAAGGAGTATTCTAGATATTAAGAGATTCCCTAGGGCTATTATGTTTGAGGACCATGTACTGAAAGTTCCTAATGTTTAATAAATACAAACTAGCAATGCAGAATGATTTCAAAGAGTGCTTAGAGTATTTTTATTCATGAATTTTGGTGGGGTTTTGCCCCAGATTTTATTTCAGTAATGAACACAAATGCATTACACCTTTGCAATTCCTGTCTGCTCCCACATGAAATTCATGTTCATATTGAGAGGCCAGTTCCTATTTGGGAAAGGCTCTTGCTCACAGGTAGTGGAGTTGATTTTTCCCTTGTGCCTGCAGAAAGCAACCAGGGAAACAACTCTGCTAAGCTGGGGCTGATTTTAATGCGTTAGGCTCAGATGTTGGCAGCAGGCACATGCTCCAAGAGCCACCAAAGATGGTTAATTGGCTGTGAGTTTTGGAGCCTGACCATTAGCTGGGAGACACAAAGCTTCTTCACACAGAGTCACCCATAGTTATTTCCAAGGCAAGCAGAAAGCTGTGTGTCTGTATGGCTGGGAGGATTGGCAAGGGAATGCCAAGGGTAAGTGCTGTCTTTGCTACAAAGGGTAAACACAATAGTGCTGTTAGCTACAGGCCTTATTACTTCTCCAGTCAAAAAGAAGCAAAAATCCAAAACAAAATTCAAAGAAAAAGATAAAAGAGCAAAATCTTATAATTATTTTTGTGAGGGAGTTTTAATTTGAAGTTTTTATACAAGTTTTTGTATTTCGGGAGTCGGGGTTGTGCCAGGTTTACTGAAATTGTACTACTAGTGGCTAAATTATCAATTGATTACAGGTGTGTGTCTGCCTTAAAGGGGATTCAACTGCCCTTTAAAGGAAGCTAATAAATAATATTGGAAGCAGCTGGCTTTGCTGCTTCTTTAGAGTCCTGTCACACCCCTTCCTGGGAGAGAAGTTAATGCTCCCTTTATTTTTCTCTTGTCCTTGGCACAAAACTGACTGAGCGTGGAATCAAATGCTTGATGGGGTGAGTTATGAGTACAAGTTTGTCTTCCCAGTGTGCTAGGACTTGATTATTTGGCAGTTCCACCTTTCTTTAGATGTTATTCTTGAGATTCTGTAAAATGCTTGTTGTAATAAAAAAGAGGTTGGGAAAGGGAGGGACTTTCAGCCCTGCATTTCAGGAGAATAAGTGTGCCCAGGCTGCTGTAGATTTTAAAGTGATGCGTGAAAATGGAGAAGTATATTTTGTAACTGGAAAAACACAGGTGGATTTTAATGTTTTGGAGGAGTTTTCCTTTGTTTGGCAATGAACAGGGATGGCTGGTCTGGAAATTGCTTATTGGATGGAAATTTGTGCTGTGCCTTTGAATAGAGGTCAGCCCCATAACAGCCACTGCCTGCTGCTGGCACAGGTGTGGCTTTAGCCCCTTCCCCAGGGCTGGGCTGTGCTCTGCTCCTTCAGGGAAGGAAGTTCCAGGGCTCTTGTCCTGTCTGCCCAGGGGCCCCTTGTCTCACTGCAACTTCAGTCCTAGTGTGGAGCAGGAAAAAACCCTATGGCTGCCTCTAAAGGAATTCAGCTGTTAGTTCAATGGCTATTAAATTTAATAAAATCCACTTAGATTCTCATCCTCAAGAGCCAGTCTGATGCTTTACATAAATCTTAATTTGTTTACCATAGCTGCTTTAAAAACAAACAAATACCCCACCACATCAGAACAGACACAGCCCCTGCTAATTAGACCTTAAAGTACATTTAGATAACTTTGGACAGATGTGCCAATATTTTATTATGCCAATTTTTGGCCAACATATTTTTTAATGTGTGTAGGCCTGATAAACTGCAGTTTTTAGGTTTTTGGTTTACTAAACAGTGGCAAAAGGAGTTGGAAAGGCTGGCATGCAGTACACTTTTTTCACAAGCAAGAAGCAATAAACTCCTGAGACCTGAAAAAACCAGTTCTTCCTTCAGTTTGACAGAATGATATCTGTTCTAAACTGATACGTTAATTGAGTCTGGCAGCCTCCATTTAATTGTGACTCATTGCAAGTGATCGAGTTAGTCAGCTCCTCAGCTGCAGTTCTGGTTTTGTCATGAGAATAAAAGAAAATAGGTAGCATGCATAGTTTTCCTTTCTTTTTGTTCCTAAAAAGCTATGCAATTTAAAATATTTGTGAGATTCTTGGGGTTTGTGTGGTTTGGGTTTTTGTTGTTGTTGTTTTTGTTTGTTTGTTTTGGGGGCTTTTTGTTGGTTTTTTTTTGGTCAGTCTATTTCACACATTTTGGGCCATGATAATTTTAGGCTCTACCTGTGAAATTCCATCTCACAATTTGTTTGCTGTTATCACAACCATTCCAGATTTAAATGTACATGGGAAACAATTAAACAGAACTAAACTTATTTGACACTGTTAAGCTGTAACAATGATGCCAGTAAATTTCAGCGCTGGTTACTAAAAAGAACAATGCTTGTGACAATGAGCAGCCCCAACATCTGAAATTGGCTTCACTCCCCTGTGGCTCACATGTGGCTTTGGTTGGGTTAGAACAAAAAATAACTTCCTTCAACGAAGACACCACTGTAGATCAACACTGTGAGATATATCCATCCTCGAAACCTTTTTAGCCTGAGGAGTGGTGCTACAAAATAAGGAAATGATGAAGGAGATTCCTTCCCTTACCTGCCTGTAGAAAGTAATTACTTGTTTTTATCTCCTGATTGGTATTAAGCCTGTTGTTAAGAAAACTTAAGCTAGTGTGAAGTCTTATTTTGCTAGGAGTCAACACTTTGTTTAATTGTACCTGTATCAAAAAGGCTTTTAGTCCAAAGTAACCAAGCTGAGAAAAGAGAGGGTGGAAGGGAAAAGAGGAACAAATGAATAATGATACCTGCAAGGTCTTTGCAGAAGCAGAATAGTTCTAAATCCATTTGGTTACTTACCTGCAGACCTACAGAACTGTTCTCTCTCACACCAACTTGCCACTGTAGTGTGGTTTATAAATGTTCAGCTATACAATGGCTTGGTTAAATACTCCAAAGTATTTAACATTCAGCAGATTCTTCTTGACTTGTAAACTGGAGTCCTAAGGCACCTGTGAAATTCTAACCATGGAGTAGGAACTTTTCTAATAACTACAGAATAGTATTTAATGCTTTTAAAATGCTTTCCAAGAAGAGGGTAGAATTTATTTTTTTTTTTAGTTTCAAAAAGGAATGGGGGAGAAATTGGTGTCAGATACACGTTCACAGAGATCTGCATTGGTGTGCTAAACTCTTGAAAGGAAGAGCCTGTTACTGCCTCTTCTGTCATGGTCAGCGATTGAGTCCCAGAACTTCTGATGGTGAACAGAATGTTTGGAATTGCTGTTTTGTGTGTGTGTGCTCATGTATTAATATACTATAAAAATGCATAAATAATACTTCAGATAAAAATAACTTGATATCAGAACAGCTTAAAAATTGCAATATAAATTGGCATTGATGTGCCAATTAAAAGTCTGCTACTCCCACATAAATATGGGGAGGGGGGAAGTGAATTATCTTCATCTACATAATAGCTCATCTCAAAAATATAGGCTAGTAGGACCTGATTCTTTATTTGAGATTAAAAGTTTAATGCTTACATTCTGACATCATATGGAGAGGCTACAGCTTCCCTTTTCTCTGGGGTAAGACATTGCAATCACTAGGCTTTTATATGCAAAAGAGCTGCGTGTAACTTCTGTGCTTCCAATGATTAATGTTGTAGTTATTTCTATTGTGCTAATTCATAATGCTTCTTGCATTTGCTTTTGTGGGACAAACCTCAATCCATCAGTGGTGTGTTATCTTGCCAGTTTCTCCACTATTTTTATTTAGCTAATTCAACCATTGCATTACTTAAAAGGATCTAATTAATCATTATGTTAGTAATCTTGGCTTTTATTGAGACCATAGTTAATTAAGTTTACAAATTGACATGGCAAAATTTGATCCAGACAAATTACGTTGGAAGAGGATTTGTATCAATAAAAATCTCTGGACTGATAAATTGCTGGCTTTTCCAGCTGGTGACAAAGATCTGTCCTGGGCTGGGGAGGGCTCCTGGGTGCAGCCACTCAGTGAAGAACACTCCTCTGCAAATGAGAACTTGGAGATGTCAGGAGCTCTTCAAAAGCATTCTCTAGTGAGAAGAGGCTGATCTTGCAAGGCCTTCAACGCCCACCTCCTGCCTGAGTCAAGGGCTTCTCTGAGTCTAGCAGGCACTGCTGAGATAATAAGAAGCTTTCCCTGCATTTCCCTGGGAATTGTGCAGCACTGCCAGGGATAGGGTGTGCAGCTTTCCCTGCATTTCTCTGGGAATTGTTCAGTGCTGCCAGGGACAGGCACCTCCATCTACCAGATCTGTGGGTGCTGAGGATGGGGAGCACAGTGGAGCTGGGGCTGTGATGGTGAGGAGCCAAGAGCTGAGGGAATCAGCTGACAGGACGGATATTTAGAACTGACATGAGGATATTTATCCATGGAAACTCAGGGAACAATGCCTGGCTCCTGTGGGAGGCAGCTCCTTCCCCAGCAGCTGCACAAGGGGCTCGGTGCCCCAGGAGCTGCTGAGCTCTGTCTGAGGGCCTGAGCTGCGCCCCAATGGCCGCTGTGCAGGGAGGGCTGTGCTGGGGCAGAGCCCCTCAGGCCCCGACTGCTCCAGGCGCTGTGGAGGTGCTTCTGGGGAGCCCAGGGGGCTGGGGACAGGCTTTGTGTCCGGCCTGGGGCTGTTCCCCACTGTTTGTCCCCATGAGTGTCAGTGGCAGGGCTGGAGGCTCCTGGGCAGGAGCCCTGGAGGGGTCTCCTCCTGATGGGATCCACCTGGACAAAATGGGGACAAGGCCCCATTTGCTGGCTGGGTGCCAGCTTGCTGAGGAGAGATTGGAACTTGGGAGGCCACAGGGAGTCACAGAATCAATGAGGATGGAAAAGACCTCTGAGATCATCGAGTCCCACCTGTGACCAAACAGCACCAGAGCAGACAGTGTCAGCCAGACCATGGCACTGAGGGCCACATCCAGTCCTTCCCTAAACACCTTAAGGGATGGTGACCCCATTCAATGTTTAATCATCCTGTCTGTGATTCCTAATGTCTAATCTAAACCTCCCCAGGCACAGCTCAAGACTGTGACCTCTTGGCCTATTGCTGGGTGCCTGGGAGAAGAGGCTGAGCCCTGAGTGAGGCAGGACTGAAAGGATGTGGTGACAGGGACAGGGGAAACCTCAGGAATAACAAAACAGAGAGATGTCCATTGTGTGTGGCTGCACAAACATGAGAAGTACCCTTGGAGTCACAGAGACCAGGATGGGCAGCTCAAGAAAAGCAGGCAGGGAAGGGGAGGAGAAGGAGCAGGCTGGATGTACATGGAGATTAGTCCTCTTTGAGAGACTGTGGGGCAGGGCTGGGGGAGAGGCCTTTGGTGTTGGGGTTTGTTCCTCTGGTCCCCAAACAATTCAGTCCTGGTGTTTCCAGAGTCATAGGCCAAAGGAATAATTTAGTGATTTTGTGTGTGAGGTGATGGGGAACACATTATTGCTGTTAGAAACACATTAAAATGCTGGACATTATTGATGGGGGGGGAAAAAAACCATGTGTAAAAGTCATAGTTTACTGGATCTTTTATTTTTTTCCCCAATACAATCAATGCTGAATATATTTAGAAGTGTTTTCCCTGCACTATGTGCAGGCTGTGCCAATTAGATACAAGAACTCATTTAAAGTCTGTTGTCCTTTGCAGAGGCTGCATGAAGCACTGCAAGGGTTTTGTGTTTACTGTGGTACTGTTGGTTCCATTCCCATTGTTATCCTGAAGCATTTATTCATATTCATTATCCACCTTGCTGCCTGCTCTTGTGGAGCTCAGCAGATGGCTCTGACCATTCCTGGAAGGGCTCTCAGGGTCCTGAGGTAGCTTTAAATCCCACTGCTGCTCCAGGGCCTGCAGAACACATGAATTTGGCACTGGCAGATGTTCTGCTCCTGTTCAGCCCACCGATGAATGGTCCTGGATGCCATTGGACCTGTAAAGAGCAGGATGTTTGATGTGTTCTGAGGCAGAAATGTATCTTTTGGGCATGTTTGAATATTTTAGTGCAGAATGGCTGAAGGGAGGCCTGAGTAGTTTGCTGAATGACAGCACAATGGTTCTGAAGCAATCGATGGGGTTGTTCCTTTGAAAGGCAGACAAGTGGGTGAATGCAGAAATTCAAGCAATGCTCACTGAAATGTGCTGTTTTGCTGATCTTTAGCAGTATTTTAGAAAAGGTGGGGGAATAAGAACTCCAGTGTTTTATGGTTTAAAGAATCTTAAAAGATTACTATATTGATTTTCCTTTTACTGATAGAAGTCTCCTAAGTATTTTGATTCTTAGTTTTTATGTATTTTGGTCCCTATCCTTAATTAAATGTTGAAAGAACTCACTGGGAAGTAACTTACTGTTTTATTATTCTGTGTCAAGTGCTGTTTGAATCAGGGTGATCTAAAATAAATTGGCTTTGTGTTTTATTGTTTTCTAGCTGTCCAGCAAACTAGAATATTGCTGATTCACCCAGCTTTTCTTTTCAACTGTGTGCCAGGAATATTTATACACGTAAGTACTTTAAAAAATATCCTTAAACATTAGATAATTTTGCATTTACTATGAAAATGGTTTTGAGAAAGAATTCTGAATTTAGATATATTGTATCTTTTGCTAATTTTGAAAACAATAATAGGTAAAAATAAGTTTGCTTTTTAAACATTAGTTATTATGGTATTTCAGTACAGAAGAGACCTTTGTGATTATATTTTTCAGAGTAATGTGCCATTACTGGAAGTAAATTATTCATATGAAAAGGATGATTGATCAAACACAAGTTACCATAATGTGAGGGTTGGAACAAGGTCAAACTTATTTTACAGGTGTACAGAAACTCATAAAATCAGTAAATTGGACATGCAGACAAATATTTGAATCCATGAATATAATTGTCTTCATTGTTATATTTCATAGCCTGTTTTTCTCCTCTGACTTTCTCACAGACTGCAATGTGCATTTATTCATCCTGGCCTGTAAGCACTTTAAAAATTCCTTTTTAATTGCAATTTTAAACCCCTGTCCTCAGTTAGATATACACTCCTATAGCCCAGAAAAATTGATGTAAACTCCTTGCAGTTTCTGGACATGTCAAGTAAAGATTACAACTGGTTCAGTGATATCTCTCCCAAGTACAAGCACTCTGCCCTCAGAGGTGGATAATTCACAAAGAAATTTAGAGTCAACAGAATAACAATTATGAGTAGTTTATCTAGTGAATTTCCCAATCAGTTGTGATACAAATAATTGATGTTTGAATTCCAGCATCGTATGCAATACCATTCCTAAGCAGTGATTATATCTCATTGGAGACTCTGGACTCCAACTGTTTAATAAAGCCAGTGCAATTTAGGACAGGTCAGAGAGAAGCTTTGTTAAATATGAGAGAGCAGGGGGACAGCATTTCCCTCCTGGTCCCCTGTTCTCTGATTGCAGACCAGCCATAAACTGGGGTGGAGAAAGATACAGGGGAAACCCACGAAGTTCAAAGTCAGCACAGCCAGGGGTCCATCCCTGGGGAGGGCAGAATGCTGAAGTATCTCCTTAACTGCCACTGTTTTGGGAATCAAGCTAATGCAGTAAATAATATGGACAATAAACCCAGTAAATGGTACAGCAAATATTATTGACAGTAAATAATATGGGCAATATAGAGGGGTGGCTCTTGGTGGAGCCTAGACTGGTATTATCTTAGCAAGGAGTTGGAAATAATCACAGACCATCAGATTTTAGGTGAAGGGAAGCCTCTTTTAGTAAAGACAACTTCTTAGCTTGACCTCAGTCATCAATATTAGCTGTTTTACCACCACAGTCTGAATCTCAATCACACATACAGCAGAGAAAAAACTCAACAAAACAATTAAATGCTGTAAAAAGTGGATTGAAACGATATCATACAACTTCCCTGACCACCCACATAGGCAGCACTGCTTGATTAATTAGAAAAATTTAATTATCTACACTGAAATCAATGACACAGAAGATCAAATATGAGAAATGTGTTTGTTTCTGACTCCTACAGTGAGTTCATCCTTGAAACCAGAGGCCAGTCCTGGGTATCATTTACTCCTTATCTCTGCTTATTGCTGGGACCTCTGCAACACATGGTATGTCAGTTGCTAGCAATTGCAAATCAATAACATTTTTTCAGGAATGTAGAAGTTCTGGGATTTCTTCCTATTGTCTGAACTCAGAAAAATGGGAGAGGAATATTTTGGGAGAAGAGGTCAGATCAGATGTGGGCTGTGTTCAGAAGCTGTCTAGAAGCAACCGAGAAGTGATTTATTTAGTTTTATTGCAGTAAAGCTCTGTGAGTTTTCCATGCTCCTTATATGAAATTGAGGGAATTGTGTCCTCTCTATTTAGATTTTTATTCATTGATTACAGCCTGTTATATTACTGCACTACAACATGGGGCTTGAATTCTTCCTATTGATTGATTTACTTAAAATCTTAAAAAAACTTAAGAAAATTTTTACTTCAGGTTTCAAACCATTGACTTGTCTCTAGTCAGCTGCAGTTACAGTTTAGATTTTACCACAACTTTAAAAAAAATTGATTGCTGTAACAACTGTGTTGAAGTCTATTTACTGCCCATTATCTCAGACATGGTTGAGAATATTAGTTGTTTTTCTTCTTTTTTGTGAATATTTTTATCAATCTCCCATTATTTTAGTCCCATAATAGGTCACTAAATTAATGTTTTAATTGTGCATTTAAGCTCCGCACTTCTCATCTCCTTATTTTAATTAATTTTTAAATCTTTTCATCAATGTACAGAGGCCTGATACAGTTTCTTATGCTTGCTGTCAAATAATATGATTAAAAATTAAGAGAATTTGTAAAACAAATGAATTCATAACATGATTATTGAGCTAAATGACGGGTAACAAATTATAGATATTTGCAAGACTGAAGCATGTTTTCTATCATGCATTTCTAAAAAAAATTAGGAATGATTATGACTTAAAATTTCAGCTTATTCAGTGTTCACTATTCTATTATGTTCATAATCATATGGATATGATTATTTTATGGCACTCTCCAGTACTGGATGTTGGAGAAAGAATTCACATCCAAAAAATGAAGGGGCAATAACCAATGCAGTGCCAATTGTGCTATTATAAGATCTAAATTATCTGTAAAAATGAATATACCATGCTAAAATGGCTCTATTTGGGCATCACCAAGCTTCACAGTACCAAGTTTAAAACACTATTTTGCCCCTCTTTTACTTGGAATAGCTGTTGAATATTCTGAACACCTCTGTGAGAGAAGCAATGACGTGAAAATTATTTTGTTTGCAACACAGGTACTTTTTCTGACTGCTATCTCCTCACAGATCCAGGGAGCAGCTGGGTCAGGATTGGTTCCTTGGAGTGAGTGAGTAAGGCTCCTGTAGCCATGTTCAATATTTCATGATTTGAGACCCAGCTAAAATATACTTCATCCCATAATTTCACTGCTCACATTTTTGATGTATTTAAATAGAACTGAACAGGATGTTTTAGAAGAACATGCTTCATCTAGAAATGCCAATTTGTCAAACCGGAATTGTGTGGGAAAGGGCTGAATCGATCTTTTTTTTTAATTTTTGTGTAGAAAAAGCTTTAAGAAACAGATTTCAACTGCTGAGAGCACCTCATTTCAACATTTTCAACATGCAAGTGGCAGTTTTCTTGGCATGGAGAAATATTTAAACTATAATTAAATGCTATAAGAATAAAAAATGCAGAGAATTTTAAGAGAATGAAATAATCCTAGTGAAGTAAATCAGACTTAAAGCACGTAAGACTTTAATTAGACTTCATGGCTCTGCATCCACATTGTGTTCAGAACTCCTGTGCTTAGATGCAGCCAGCTCATATTTCTTAATTTTGCATGATGTAGCCTTAGCCTGATGCTGCTTCCATTTGTACTAAAGAAAAACTGCTCTGGGATGAGGTGGGTTGGACTCTTGAGCAGTCAATCCTGGCTCCTCTGCTGATTTGCCCAATGCAAAAATTGGGTGCTGACTGCAGAGCTGCACTGCCATGGCTGCCAATGACAGAAAATATAAATGTAATACAGAATATATATATAAATATATAAGTATAGAATATATTCTAATATAACAACCCCCAAAATAAAACTACAGCTTAAATGATAATCTCACTGGGAAGACTGGAATACATTACAATATAATTTTGTGTGACCTTTTGGGGATGTTGGAGAATGCTTGAGTTACCATATGATAAATGCAAAATTTTGTGCACCATTAGTTATGAGAAGAGTTGGTGTTAAGAAATTCCACTTGCCATCCCTTTGAATCACATCACAAGGGTTAAACCCAACAGGTTTCCATAGAAATATCCCTGAAATCAGTAAGTTATTAGAATTACTTAGATTTTCAATTGGTAGAGAGTCAGACTACTATGCATATTAAAAAACCCCCCAAACACTCACTTGGCCTTTGCATTTGATGCCATTATATTATTATATATCCTCTTTTTTTTTTTTTTTTGGTGTTTTATTAACAAAAATTAGATCAAACTATTGAAAAGTCACCGCTTTTGTTAAATTATACAGTGTTTAAAGGCTTGAGAATATTAATTAAATATTACTGGGATAATTTGGTTAAAAGAGAGCTCAGGGAATATAGGATTTTATTTTTTCATGCTGTGATTGACTGGAATGATTTTCTTTTTGGCCAGCTAAGTATTGTTAGAATTGATGTTATCATGTAAAACACTGCTTTGCTAGAGTTTAAAGGTACCTCTATGGACCTGTAGAGAAAATGGCTGTGGAAGGTTATTTGTATGCCATGATCAACCCTCTCCTTATTCCACAGCAATTGTAAGAAGGAAAGGGCTGTTTAGGACAATCAGTGGCCTCACTGTCATTAACTGAATTACAACAGCTTATTATAATGTGAATCTCACAATACTGAGTCACTGGCTTTAGAACCTTGGGCTAAATGTAGATGTAATGCATGGTAGAAAAATAATAATGCACCAATGCCTGCATAATGATGAGCTGTACACACAGAGATTTTGAAATATTGGTAATTCTGTGAATATATCAATCCTGAGCTGCTTAGTAGTAAAATGTAAATACAGTCTTAGAAATTATTATGTGAACTTGAACACAAGTTTCATTCTGTTTCTTTTTGAATCATTCATACAGATGTAGATTTGTGTGTGGAACACAACACATTTTTTCTGATTCTCATCACCTCACAAAGCAGAAGTAGAGAAGAGGGGTGGTGTATCTGGAATGAAAGAGATGGAGTGACTTTCATGTGTGGTAAAATAAAGGGATTCTAAACAGAGTTCTGAATAGGTCTTTAAAAGGAGTGTGTATCTGTGTGAATTATAGCTGCCTCTAAAACGAGGAGTGGTGAATTGAACTGAGAAAAACAGTACAAGGTTTAAAGCAAAAAAAAGTATTTGTTCATTTAATGCAAAATAAAAGTCATGGAACCACTTAGTGTAAAGAGCTGTGAAAGCAAATACACATGGATTCACAGTGGATTAGAGAAATCCATGTTTGAGTGTGTCAGGGGCTGTTTAAGAGGTTTAGAAGAAACTTCAGGGTTGCAATACCTAAGTGAACCCAAACCAGAAAGCCTGTCCTCTGGCCTGTGAGAGGGCAGAAACCATTTGAATTATGGAGAAAGCTCTTAGGGTCATATTAGATATAGCATTCCTACCTCTGTGTGCACATGAATGCACGAAGTCAGCAGCTTCTGGTGTTTGTGAGTGTGCAGAGAAAGAGAGTCCTCAGATGGGCACAGCTGGGGCCATGCACACCTACTGAGTTGCTTTGCTCATCACATATTTCTGGTATTATTTTCCAGATGTTACAGGTTGTCCTGTACTTGTCAGTTATGGTCACCTTAAAATTGTGAGGTCTCTTTCTGCTCTGTATTAAGAGGAAGATTTTCTTTCCTCTCATTTCTGTCATCTGTTAGAACTTGGCTTTGAAGCCTATTTGCTGTGGAGGACAGGATCATACAGCTTAACTACCCACTTGGCTGGGAAGTGCAGTTTAGAAATAACATCTGTGCAGCTGCTGGGGCATCCACAGCACTGCCAGGCTGTGAATTCCCTGTGATTACAACTTGCATGTCCTCTGCTGCTTTCCTGCTCTCAAATTTGAGAGTGGAGATCCTGGATCCTTCCCGTAATAAATAACAAATTTCTTATTTGAGTTTGACTTGAGCCTTTCAGGGATTAGGTGTATTACAAGGGTCGAGCATGCCCATGGGGAAGGAGTGCTGTGTGTTGTTAATCTCTCTGAGATGCAAAGCACTGCTGGGCAGGGTGCAGAGAGCTGCAGGCTCTGTCTGGAGAGCGGTGGGGTCACAGTGATGCCAGGCTTTGGATGGAGAGTTGATTATAAAATGCTATCCAGGGAGCAGGAGTGATTACACTGCCCCAGAGCAAGCTGAAAAACATCTATTTAGCTCTAAATACAGGCTGGGGTTTCAGAATTTGTGGTTTCTGGTGCTTTCCAGGGTATCATGGGCTTGGTTTTATATGGCCAGCTGAAATTAATGTCATAAAAGATTTGCAAGCTTAGAAAGGCTTTCACATATGTGTAAAATGCAGGAAGATGCACTCGGAAATTTATAGATTTATGTCTTCATTAAAGAAAAAAAAGCTGTTTCACACCAGGGACGTTCTTTTAAGATGTTTAGGATGTTCTCTTTGACCAGTTTATGGGGAGGGGAAATGCACTGGGACAGAAACCTAAATGGAGACAAAAAAATTGCCTTTTTTGGAACAAAATTCACCTTTGTAAATTAGAGATGGGAACAGAATTAACCTTTGTAAATTAGAGATGGGGAACCTTGAAATTAAATAAATTAAAACATTTTTGACTTGAAGGGCTTTTAGCAAGAAAAGGATCTTTCTATGTCCAGGCCTCAAAAAGTCTTTAATGCTTGCAGTCCCATGGTCCCAGGCTCTGTCTGTGAGCCCTGTGCCCAAAGACATGCAAGGCATGGGGTCCTTTGTACCAAAACTGCAGGTTATTGACCAGAATGACTTTGCTCTCCTCCATCCTGAGAAGGTGAACATGGGGTGAGGAATTTGGGAAGGAGCACAGAATGAGCCCCAGTCAGCAGCACACACTGCTCAGCCCCACTTTTGGGTCTCTCAATCACAGCAGCACCACAGGCACTGCCAGGGCTCTGAAAACTCTTACCTAGGCTTGAATAGCAAGAGTCAGACTCAGTCTGCAGTCTGATCACAAATAAAAAGAAAGTGCATGTTGGAAAAACAAGCTCTTAATCTGGTCTTGAATAGCAATTATGATGCATTTAGCATAAAATAATAGTTACCGGAAAAATAGGTTTTGTTTTCCATTTGCAGCAATGTGGTTCCCTGTGAGATTTAATTAATGGCTCTCATTTATTCTCTTATTTCTCCCTATTCTGTGAGTGCTGAGTATAAAAGAGCACATTTAATTTGGCTTCTAGGCAGCAAACAAGTTCATTTAATGTTGATATAGAAGCATCTCTGGATTTTAGAGGGAAAAGAGAGGAAGGGCCATGGAGGGGAAATGTGATTAGTACCATTGATATCACAGACAGCTTGAATGGCTTTAGCAATCAGGGGGAATTTTACTGAAAACCAAGTTTATATTACTGCACAACAATTCAGAGAATGGGGAATTATCTCCCATAGCACATCAGATAAATGGAGCCTGGAAGTTATAATCCACTTAACCTGGATGCAACATTTTGTCTTCTGGGGGAAGTAGGATATGTTTGAGACACAAACACCTATGCTCTCTTTTATCTTTTTCAATTAAGAAAATAAAATTTCCTTTAGATAATGTCATCTTGGGAAATATATTTCAAGTTAAGCAAATCTTCCTATTGGATAAGACAGGCTATACCACACATTTAAATGCAATATGGAAAGGGTCAGAGTGGCCAATCTGCAAAGTTCCTCCCACAGACGTAGAAACCAGGGAATGGGGAGGGTTTTGATTGATGGTTTGAGCAAATCAGCTAGAGGAGGACTGTATTCCTTAAACTGAGGGAAGCTTTGCTACCAACTTGCATTTATTTCAAGATCAAAGCTTCAGGCTTTCATTTCTACCATGCAGAGCCACTGGCATCCAGAACAGAAACCCAGTGCTATAAACTCACACCTGATTCTTTTACAAGAAAAATGCTGCTCCTTAAAGGCAGATTAACTTCTTTTGAGGAGTGTGTGGCTTGCAGGAGAGGCTGAAACTGAAAGGAGCAGCCTATTGTTTCACCTGACAATTGTTTCATGCTTTTATTTGATTCACAGGGAATAGAAAGATGATCAAAGTGAAAACATTTTGTTCCTAGCTTGTGATAGCAAAAGAGAATTAAAAGAATAATGCAGCCATGGAAGCATGTGTTAGTGGTAAAAATTTCTCCTGATCCTTTGCAAAGGGCATCAGTAGGCAAGAGAGAATGCTGAGCAGGACATGGTGCCTAAAAGCAGAAACATTTCAGTTCCCTGACTGTACATAATGTGAAGTTTGAATCCTGCTCAGTTGTGTCTAATATCATCTGCTCTTGATGTAGATCAGCCAGGATGGAAGCACAGGTATCTCTGCTTCTGATGACATGACTAATTTGTTAAAAAGATTTGGAATGGGAAATAGGGATTTATATTTTTGTCTGCTGTACTTGTGTCATTCATCAACTGCTTTTTTGCCTTTGGCAATGGACATATTGTCCTCTGGCACGAGTACTCATTTAGTTCATTTGGAGTTTTGGTTTAATGGGGAATTTTTTCATATTTATTACCACTAAAAGACGTGGGACTTAGGCAATTTATGCATGCCATAGGCTTGGGCTGTTTATCCCCTCCTTTCCCAGTTCCCTTTTAAAAAATCCTCTTTATTACGTTTTCTGATGGAGTTCTAAAACCCAACAGTATTGGCAGGAGAGGCTGGCAGAGCTGAGTAGCCAAGGGCCTTTTGGCCTTTGTGCAGGTCTCTCTGCCCTGTAATGTTGTGCAATTTTCACCACTCATTCTTCTCTCCAAATGTCCTCCCTGGTCTCTCCCAGCCCTGGGAAATGCACAATAGCAGCACGTTTGCTCACCAGATGTTCTCCTATCTGGTCTTGGGAATAGCTTATAACATTTGACTGGAATACCACCCATGATTTGTCATTTCTCACCACCTTGGGTGGGAAATGAGTGCTCTTTGTACTGATGGAAGTAATCCGGAATATGAAGACATTGGGGGGTTTTTCAGGCAATTTTTGAATGAGTTTGAGACATGAAATAGGAGATGATTTGACCAGCACCCTGTGAGGTGAAAGGCAATGGCTGCTGCTCTTGACTCCTGTGTGGATATGCAGCTTTGTAAATAAAATGGTTAAATACAGCGACATTCTGAGCTCAACATTGTGTGCTCAGTTCTGTTATATGAAGAATGTAAGAAAAAATTTAGGGTGAGAATAAGCAGCTCCCTGCATGCATTTGTGTGCTGGATTCATGAGGCACCCAGCCTTGGAAGCACTTTGGATAGAACACTGTAGATGTGCTTTATTCATTGTGTTTTATGAACTGCATTTGAAGAGCATTCTTTAGGATCAGAGAAGTTCTTTTTATTTTATTCCCTGGCATAGTTCTCAGTTTTATTCCCAATTGGTTGAGTTATCTGACCTGGTACAATTTATTTTTTTTTCCAAGAGGAAAACCACGGAGTAGCTCTGATTTGCATTGGCTTTCAGATTCATTTGGCTTGGTAAAAAGTGCCTAATACAAAATCAAAGCAACAGATGCTCCTTGCTGGCTTTCTGTAGAGCTCACACACCTGCAAGTGCTTGCCATAAACTTGCTATAGGGGCTGCTCTTGGCCATCCTCCTGTATTTTTAATGTCACTGTCCTTTGGCAATACATAGATCTTAGTGAAACAAGATGTTTTTTTCTCTTCAAGCTGTATGCATGTTTTTTCTGCAGTCTGCTGTGCATTTTAGGCAGGCTGTGAGCTAATGATAAGATTGCTTAGATGAATTCCCAGATCACCATGTTTTCTGCCAGAGATGAAAGGCCATGTAAATATGCTTTTCTGGCTCCTTTCTCAGATATGATTTCCCTGTTCTCTCTTTTTCCTCTGCACTCTACTTGCAATAGGGAATTGAATACCTGTGTTTCCCTGCATGACCTCCTGTACACTGTTATCAGGGTACAGTTATTAATTGAGCATTACATATTTTCACCAAAGTTCCAATTTATAGTTAAAACTTTGCTCCTTCAATTTGTGCTAAATACTTCAAAATGTTATAATAAAATTAGCCTCCAAAATTGTTAGAG